TTTTCCTCACTTCTTTCTTTTCTTCATTTCATTTTCACACTTCTTTTTCTTCTTTTTTTCTTTTTTTTTCCTCACTTCTTTCTTTCCTCATTTCATTTTCACACTTCTTTTTCTTCTTTTTCTCATTTCTTTTTCCTCACTTCTTTCTTATCTTCATTTCATTTTTCACTTCTTTTTTCTTCTTTTCTCATTTTTTTTCCTCACTTCTTTCTTTTCTTCACTTCATTTTTCACACTTCTTTTCTTATTTTTTCTCGTTTCTTTTTCCTCACTTCTTTCTTTTCTTCACTTCATTTTTCACACTTCTTTTCTTCTTTTTCTCGTTTCTTTTTCCTCATTTCTTTCTTTTTCTTCACTTCATTTTTTCACACTTAATTTTTTCTTATTTTTCTCGTTTCTTTTTCCTCACTTCTTTCTTTTCTTCACTTCATTTTCACACTTCTTTTTTCATTTCTTTTTCCTCCTTCTTTCTTTTTTCTTCACTTCATTTTTCACACTTCTTTTTTTTTTCTTTTTTCTCATTTTCTTTTCCTCACTTCTTTTTTTTTCTTCATTTCATTTTTCTCACTTTTCTACTTTTTTCTCATTTCTTTTTCCTCACTTCTTTCTTTTCTTCATTTCATTTTTCACACTTTTTTTTTCTTTTTTTCTCATTTTTTTTTCCTCACTTCTTTTCTTTCCTCATTTCATTTTTCACACTTTTTTTCTTCTTTTTCTCATTTCTTTTTCCTCACTTCTTTCTTTTCTTCATTTCATTTTTCACACTTCTTTTTTCTTTTTCTCATTTTTTTTCCTCACTTCTTTCTTTTCTTCATTTCATTTTTTTCACATCTTTTTTCTTCTTTTTCGTTTCTTTTTTTTTCCTCACTTCTTTCTTTTTCTTCATTTCATTTTCACATTTTTTCTCGTTTCTTTTTCCTCACTTCTTTCTTATCTTCATTTCATTTTTCATACTTCTTTTTCTCGTTGCTTTTTCCTCGCTTCTTTCTTTTCTTCACTTCATTTTTCACACTTCTTTTTCTTCTTTTTCTCATTTCTTTTTCCTCACTTCTTTCTTTCCTCACTTCATTTTTCACACTTCTTTTTCTTCTTTTTCTCATTTCTTTTTCTTCACTTCTTTCTTTTCTTCATTTCATTTTTCACACTTCTTTTTTTCATTTCTTTTTCCTCACTTCTTTCTTTTCTTCATTTCATTTTTCACACTTATTTTTCTTCTTTTTCTATTTTTTTTCCTCACTTCTTTCTTTCCTCATTTCATTTTTCACACTTCTTTTTCTTCTTTTTCTCATTTCTTTTTCTTCACTTCTTTCTTTTCTTCATTTCATTTTTCACACTTCTTTTTCTTCTTTTTCTCGTTTCTTTTTCCTCACTTCTTTCTTTTCTTCATTTCATTTTTCTCACTTCTTTTTCTCATTTCTTTTTCCTCACTTCTTTCTTTTCTTCATTTCATTTTTCACACTTCTTTTTCTTCTTTTTCTCATTTCTTTTTCCTCACTTCCTTCTTTTCTTCATTTCATTTTTCACACTTCTTTTTTCTTTTCTTTTCGTTTCTTTTCCTCACTTCTTTCTTTTCTTCATTTCATTTTTCACACTTCTTTTTCTTCTTTTTCTCGTTTCTTTTTCCTCACTTCTTTCTTTTCTTCATTTCATTTTTCACACTTCTTTTTCTTCTTTTTCTCGTTTCTTTTTCCTCGCTTCTTTCTTTTCTTCACTTCATTTTCACACTTCTTTTCTTATTTTCTCGTTTCTTTTTCCTCACTTCTTTCTTTTCTTCACTTCATTTTTCACACTTTTTTTCTCATTTCTTTTCCTCCTTCTTTCTTTTCTTCATTTCATTTTTCACACTTCCTTTTTTCTTTTTTTTCTCGTTTCTTTTCCTCATTTTTTCTTTTCTTTTCATTTTTCACTTTTTTCTTCTTTTCTCGTTTCTTTTTCCTCTTCTTTTTTTTCGTTTTCATTTTTTCTTTTCTTCTTTTTCTCGTTTTTTTCTTCTTTCTTTTCTTCCTTCATTTTTCACACTTCTTTTTCTTCTTTTTTCTCATTTCTTTTTCCTCACTTCTTTTTTTTTCTTCATTTCATTTTTCACACTTCTTTTTTCTTCTTTTTCTCATTTCTTTTTCCTCACTTCTTTTCTTTTCTTCATTTCATTTTTCACACTTCTTTTTCTTCTTTTTCTCATTTCTTTTTCCTCACTTCATTCTTTTCTTCAATTCATTTTTCACACTTCTTTTTTTTCTTTTTCTCATTTCTTTTTCCTCACTTCTTTCTTTTCCTCACTTCATTTTTCACACTTCTTTTTCTTATTTTTCTCATTTTTTTCCCTTACTTCCTTAAGCAACAGAAATTTTGTTCTACAGAAAGATGCTGAGGATACCATGAACCTAACATGTGAGCAACGATGAGGCTTTGGAGAAAATGGAGGAAAAAAAATAATATTTAACATGAGGAAGAGACAGTTGAAGTTTCAAGGCACAACATGAGATAATAAACAGGCTGGCTTATAAATAATTACTTTTCGATTAGCAACTTTTTTTCTTAAAAAAAATAACGTGCAATTCTATTCAGTTATACATTTTATTCAATTATACAGTCCGTCTGGAATTATTATGGCGATCCCATAAACCTCAATAACTCGAATTGGCTTTGAAAGACATTTGTCAAATTTTAAACTATTAATTTAGATATGAAACAAAGCGTGAATAATTTTTTATTGAAGTTATTAGATTTAGTATAAAAACACCCGCCTGAAGTTATTATGTAGATTAAACTAATAGTAGTTTAAGCCCTCTCAAATTTAATAAATACTATTTTTTTTCCATAATATACGTTGAAATCTGGGTAATGGAAAGGATCTAGCCACTGCAGAAAAATCGAAAATAACAAAGTTATTGAGTGAGGGAATGTCCTCCACAGTAGAGTTATCAAAGGAATTCAGCAGAGATCATCAAACAACAAAGATGGGCGTTAAAAATATAAGTAAGTTGAGAAATCGAAGTAAAGGAAAAGACTTTATGAACTTGTTTTCTCTAGATGAACGTAAACTAACACGAGTTATAGAGAAACGCCTGATTGTGACCATATATATATATATATATATATATATATATATATATATATATATGTAATATTTCATTTAGATTCACCCTCTTATGACTATATATATATATATATATATATATATATATATATATATATATATATATATATATATATTACACATCAATTTTAATTTCATTTTCGTTTCATTTTTTTGGAAGTACTATCTGATGATCGGCGTCCTTTAAAATGGCTCTGGTGAAATAAATCATTATAATGGTACCTTTAAAGTGGTCTGTTTTTCTTTAATATATATATATATATATATATATATATATATATATATATATATATATATATGTGTGTGTGTGTGTGTGTGAAAAAATGTATGTATATAAAATATATATATATATATATAATTATTTATATAATATATGCACGGTACTTATTAGAAAGCGCTCAATATCAGAGATAGAGCTAACAGGGTCACAAACTCACATCAATCCAACCAAAATATATATATATATATATATATATATATATATATATATATATATATATATATATATATATATATGGCCGAAACTAGTCGAGGAATCTAAATGAAATAATAATAAAAAAAACAAAAGAATATTAATCTCTAACCCAGTGTGTCTGAAGATTTTATTTTTTTTTATATTTTTTATTGTTCTATATATATATATATATATATATATATATATATATATATATATATATATATATATATGGGATAATGATATATTATGTAAATTTTTATATATCAAGAACATTTTTTTAGGAAAGAAGTCTGACAAACTGGAAAATGTTTTTCTGTCGTCTGAAGTCCTTTGTCATAATTATATATATATATATATAAAATAAACAAGAAAATTCAAAATCACCTCATATTGGTAATAGCCTTTTGGATTCTATTGTTTATTAATTATT